CTTTCAAAAATATACATATATTTTAAAAATATATATTTTCAACAAAAGCAGATCTGCCCAAAACTAATGGCACTTGTGCAGCCTCTGTGAATGTTGAGAGTAACTTGGCATGACAGCACTTTCTAGTTGGGGAGAGGAAGTCAGGCTGCACTTCTGAATAAGCAGTTTTTGTAAATTAATAAACCCCTAGCGAGAGCTCTAAGGGAAGAGACCGGTCACCAAGGCTGAAGTACTGTGCGGTGATTTCTTATGGTTTTCATGGTAAATAAATGTGTTTCCACGCCTGATTAGGTACGCTCTTGTAGATGGGCCCCAAATTACATGGTCTTCAAGCTCCTCCCAAAACCTGTGTGCATCTCACCTTGCTGTACAGTCTAGGAAATATTTAGTGAACAGTTCCTTCTGTCTACCATGGAAGAAAGTTCACAAGAAAACTTCCTTCACAAGGATCTTTCCCAGAATCTCATCTTCATTATAGGAAGACATCAGTTCGAACTGACCAGTATTTCTGGTTTCAGAAAGAGCAAGTCAGTCAAGACGGGTGAAATATTTTCACTCTCGACTTTGTCTAAATATTGTCTGTCATGTTAAAGTACAAAAACTCCTGGAGAAATGTCTCTTGTTTGTCATTTTCTCCCCATCAGTGGATCTTGCTTTTTTATTTTTATTTTAGTTGGAGTCACACTCTGTTACCCAGGCTGGAATGCAGTGGCACGATCACGGCTCACCACAGCCTTGACCTGCTGGGCTCAGGCCATCCTTTCACCTCAGCCTCCAAGTAGCTGGGACTACATGCACACCACCACACCAGGCTAATTTTTTGGTAAAGACAGGGGTCTTGTTATGCTGCCCAGGCTGGTCTCAAACTCATAGACTCAAACGATCCTCTTGCCTCAGCTTCCCAAAGAGTTGGGTGTGAGTCACCGTGCTGGACCAGATCTTGGACCAGGACCAAATTCCACTGGTGACCAGTCCTTCCAGGGACCACGATGGGTCAGTCTTGTTCTTACTTAAGCAGACACTTGCAGAAACCAAGGTCCCCCAAATCCTACAAATAAGCATTTACATACCAAATGATGCCTTCCTGTAGAATTCTGGTTTCTGGAAATAACCATAAAATCTAACCATAAGCCGTCATTCATGCCGAAAGAAAAGCCTGGAAAGATACTGTTTAATAATTCAACATGAAGATTGGGTTTGTATTTACATGGCCAGGTTGTTAACTATGGCCTCTCAGGCGGACAAAATAGAGAAAGAAAAAAGACAGAGCCAGCATGGCCATTGCCTCAGAAACCCTCATGGGCCAAAAGAATTGTGGTTCTGTCTAACACAGTGAAAGCATATCCCCAAAGCAGGACCACTGAAATATCCCTGATGGTGGCCTCTGTGGTCCTCGGCCACTCAGGAACATCTGACTCCTTTCCCGGAGGACAAGTCCTTTTCAGGGTCTGTTGAAGGACAGAGTGTATTCATTACCACTCTTCCTGCAGAGGCATTTGATATTGGCTCTGACCTCCAAGGTCATGGTCAGAAGCCTAGGTCGACTCAGGGAGACAGAAGTAGTCACAGGGCAGGGACAGAATCACTTTCTATGGAAACCATTGTTTACCCACGTGGCTAAAACATGAACGAAATCACATCTAGACTAAAGGAGAGAGAAAGATCTCGGGTAAACATGTCCCAGAGCCGGGCGCGGTGGCTCAGCCTGTAATCCCAGCACTTTGGGAGGCCAAGGCGAGAGGACTGCCTGAGCCTGGGGGTTCGAGACCAACCCGGGCAACTTGGTGAAACCTCGTCTCTGCAATAAATCACAAAAACTAGCCGGGTGTGGTGGCGTGCGTCTGTAGTTCCAGCTACTTGGAAGGTAGAGGCGGAAGAATTGCCTGCACCCAGCAGGTTGAGGCTGCGGTGACCGTGAGCGTGCTACTGCACTCCAGCCTGGGCGAGACTGCAACTCAAAAAAACCCAACCAACCAACCAACCAAACAAACAAAAGAGTGTCCCAGATTACAAAAGAGTTGTGTACCCTGCCCCCCCACCCTCCTTCCTCTCATCCATTCTACCCATCAGCTAAGTCTGATGAGAAAGAAGCCCTCCAGGCCCCAACACTTCCTTGGTGGCTCATTTCAGTGACCTCACACTGCCCACTAAATACCTCCCAAAGCCAGGCATGGTGGCATGAGCGTTTAATCCAGCTACCCCGGGAGACTGAGGCAGGAGGATGGCTTGAGTCCAAGGGTTCCAGGTTACAGTGAGGCATGATGGCACCACAGCACACAAGCCTGGGTGACAGAAGCGAGAACCCAACCAAAAACAAAGAAACCAAACAGAAAATACTTTCTCAACTACACTCTGCTTTCAGATCCCTGTTATCCAGTCTGGGTTTTTTTTTTGGGGGGGGTGGGGGCGGGGAAGAGACTGCATTCATTCTACAACCTTCAATAAAAACTCTGTTGGGGCTGAGCGCAGTGACTCACACCTGTAATCCCAGCATCTTGAGAGGCCGAGACAGGAGGATCACTTGAGACCAGGAGGTCAAGACCTGCCGGGGTGACAAAGTGAGATCTGGTCGCTACAAAAACATTTAAAAAACTAACCAGGCGTGGTGGTGCACACCTTCAGTCTCAGCGACCAGGGGTTGAGGCAGAAGAATCTCCTGAGCCCAGGAGGTTGAGGCTGCTGAGAGTCACCAACGCGGTACTACGCTCCAGTCTAGGCAACAGAGTGAGACCCCAACTCAAAAAAAAAAAAAAAAGAAAAAGAAAAAGAAAAGTAAACGTGGGAAGGCCAAAGCACTCGGCTTGGGAATTTGAGTTGGGTCCGTTCCAATCACCTCAGTGGAAATCATCTGAAACTCTCACACCAGGTCACGCAAACACTCCGTCTGCAGGACTGTGTATCTTTCTAACTTTATATTGCGCCTGTGGTGCTATAGACAGATAACTCTTCCCACCAACTTCAAAAGCAGCTCCCTGCTTGAAGCAGCTCTAGGGGGCAGAGAACGCAAAGGAAAACAGGTTCCACATATGGGAAGCATCTCGTGTAACCAGGCGATGCCGAACCCCTGTCACAGGGTTTTTCCCCTTCATTTATCTCTTACAGTATGCGAGTCAGCTCATCGTGTCAAATCGCTTCACAGATCTTTGGCAGTGGTTATTAATTATCCCTTCATTTATGATTACATGGAACAATGAAATGAGAAGTTAAGAGTAGTCAAAGGTCTTTCAACATGGAGCCACTTTTCTTTTTTATGAGTTGGAATCTCACTCCGTCGCCCAGGCTGGAGTGTAGTGGCACGTTCACGGTCACTCCAGCGTCAACCTGCTGGGCTCCAGCGATCCTTCCACCTCAGCCTTTCAAGGAGCTGGAACTAGAGGCGAGCACTACCATGTCCGGCTAATTTTTTAATTTTTTTTATTGTAGAGACGGGGTCTCACCAAGTTGCCCAGGCTTGTCTCGAACCCATGGGCTCAGGCAATCTACTTGCCTCTGCCTCCCAAAGTGCTGGGATTACAGGTTGAGCCACTGAGCCTGGCCAGAGCCACTTTTTACAAGAGTTTTGCTGGTTATCATGTTCGATTCTGACCCCAGGATATGGTACCCCCTCCCAAATGGGCTAAAATCAAATATTGATATTATTGGCTGGGCACAGTGGCCACACCGGTAATTCCAGCACTATGGCCTAAGCGTAGGGGTTCAAAACTAGCCTAGGGAACTTGGCGAGTCTTCGTCTCTATAATAAATCAAAAAATTAGCTGGGTGTGGTGGTGTGTGCCTGTAGTTTCAGCTACTTGGAAGGCTGAGGAGGAAGGACTGCTTGAACCCTACAGGTCAAGGTTGCGGTGGCTGTGATCATGCCATTGCACTCCAACCTGGGCGAAGAGTAAGACTGACTCAAAAAAAAAAAAAAAAATTGGTATTATAGTAAAAGAGTTCCTCTCGACTAACCACCCCTTTAAGGGTGTCTAGACTCAAGAACTATAAACACGCAGCATCTCCTAGATTAGGCAAAGAGGGGTGCACCTTGCAATGAGCTTGTCAGAAAGATCTAGAAGTAGAGAAGGTTTTGTTCTAGAGATTCTGACTCTTTTTTTTGAGTTGGAGTCTCACTCTGTCGCCCAGGCTGCAGTGCAAGTGGCATGCTCACGGCCACTGCAGTCTCAACCTACTGGGTTCAGGCAATCCTACCGCCTCAGCCTTCCAAGTAACTGGAACTACAGGCATGTGCCACCATGCCCAGTTAAATTTTTTTTTTTAATTTACTGTAGAGATGAGGTCTCACCAAGTGGCCCAATCTGGTCTCAAACCCGTGGGCTCAAACAATCCTCTCACCTTGGCCTCCCAAAGTGCTGGGATTATAGGCATGAGCCACCACGCCCAGTCTGATGCTGACTCTTTTAAGACAACCCTAACTGCCATGTTTCCAACAAGAATTCACATTTAACACTCAAAGTGGTAGGGACAAGGCCACATCATTTTAAAGGCATTGAGTTCCAGATAAGGACATATGACTTCAAGGTCTTAGTATGAGACTACTCAAATGGTCAAACACTTTCTTTTTGTTGGTGTTTTTAGTCAGGGTCTCCCTCTGTCACCCAGGCTACGGTGCAGTGGCACAATCATGGCTCTCTGCAGCCTTGACCCCAGGACTCAGGTGATCCTTTTGCCTTAGCCTCTCGACTAGCAGGGACAATAGGTGCGTACCACCATACCCAGCTAACTTTTTTTATTTTTTGTAGAAACATGGTCTTGCTACGTTGCCTGGGCTCAAGCAACCCTCCTGCCTAAGCCTCCCAAGGTGATGGGATGACAAGTGTGAGCCACCACATCAGGCCCAAATACTTCCTTATATAACCAATTGATTATTTTTGCTGTTAACATCAATCCACCACCAGGCAGTATGACAGTATATATTCTGGCAAGTTCTCCAACGTCTGTTGCAAGTAATGTTTGCCCTCCAGTGCCTGGTATTCCACCCAGAGTCCGGAAAGGCAGCTTACCATCTGCTGTCGAGACTTCTTCCTGCTGACTGTCCAGGGCTCCCTCCTGGAGGCTGAGCTCATCTTGTTCAGCCAAGCCATTGGCAGTGGACAGCTGACCATTCGTCTGTAGGAGCTACAGGGAAGACAAGGACAGGGACACTTAATGTCAGTACTCACAACCAAATGAGACACAAGACACTAACTTCCGGAATATAAACTATTGAAAGAAGAAAAAGAAACAGAGGTTCAATAACAGTAAAGATTTGAGTCTTGAAGCCATCTGAAAGACCCAGCTACCTTACCGAGATAGAAGGTGCTAGCATCAAGCCGATGGGCCTTGTATCTGGGTAAGTGTGTACAAGTCATTCATGCAGTCATGAATTCATGCATCTGTACCCCATGCAGGATACACATACTGGCCTTTTCAGGCCTAGTCTCTCTCTCTCTTTTTTTTGAGTCGGAGGCTCACTTTGTCACCCAGGCTGGAGTGCAGTGGCATGCTCATGGCTCACCAGTCTCGGTCTCTTAGGCTCAGGTGATCCTCCCGCCTCAGCCTCCCAAGTAGCTGGGACTACAAGCATGCACCACCATGCCCAGATAATTTTTTTTACTTATAACAGAGACAAAGTCTGGCAATGTTGCCCAGGCTGGTCGCGAACTCCTGGGCTCAAGTGATCCTCCGGTCTCAGCCTCCCAAAGTGCTTGGATTACAGGTGTGAGCCACTGCACCCTACCCCCATTTTATAAATAAGGACACTGGGACTCAAAGTGACTGCAGAGGGAAAGGGGTGTCCTGCTACAGGTCTCACAACTCTGGAATGGAGGCACCGTGGCCCGAAAGACAGGTTACCACAAACTACTTCAGGGGTTTTTCTGAACTGTCAAGAGCACCCTCTTTTATTGTTTTATTTTATTTTATTTTTTTGAGTTGGAGTCTCACTCTGTTGCCCAGATTGGAGTACAGTAGCACACTCCCGGCCACCACAGCCTCGACCTGCTGGGCTCCAGCGATCCTTCCGCCTCAGTCTTCCAAGTAGCTGGAATTACAGGCACACACTACCACACCTAGGTAATTTTTGATTTATTGTAGAGACCAGGTCTTGCCAATTTCCCAAGCCAGTCCCGAACCCCGCGGGCTCAGGCAATCCACTCGCCTCGGCCTCCCAAAGTGCTGGGATTACAGGCTAAGCCACCGAGTCAGGCCTGAGGGTACCCTCTTTTATTTTATTTATTGTAATTTTTTTGAGTTGGAGTCTCACTCTGTCACCCAGACTGGAGTGCAGTGGCCGCTCCCAGCCACCGCAGCCTCAACCTGCTGGGCTCCGGCGATCCTTCCACCTCAGCCTTCCAAGTAACTGGAATTACACGTGCGCGCTACCACGCCCGGCTGATTTTTTGATTTATTATTGTAGAGATAAGGTCTCGAACCCGCGGGCTCAGGCAATCGACTCACCTCAGCCTCCCAAAGGTACGGGATTACAGGCTGAGCCACCGAGTCCGGCTCTTGGTACCCTCTTTTAAAGGACCTGTTTCTAAACACAAAGATTGAATGACTTAAAGAGCATCCCCTGGCGCCAGAGCTGCCTGCGACAAATCTCAGAGTCCCACACTCTCTCTGACATAATTTTGCCCTGCTTACAGGCCATCGGATGGCTCTGGCCACACCACTGACTTAGAACGGAGTCCTGAAGGGACCGTGGGCTCAAAACAGTCAACTCAGAAGTCTTGAATTGCACTAAATTGATTGCACCTGGCTGGTCCCTGCTCCCAGCAAGGCTGTCCTTCAACTGCGTGAGTCTCCGCCTGAAATAATTCCCCGCCCTGTACTTTAATACTTACACTACAGATGGAATTGTTGGCTTCAAAATGCCCATGCTGAGTCCATTTATTAAACAGAATACTCAGATTACATTTCCACTTAAAGTCTTCTCTTACCAAAATATGAAAGATGGGAATTTTAAATGAAACCTAAAAACACAAGAGAGGGGTGGGGAAGGCGGGGTAGTATGACTCTCCCAAGTCCATCGGCAAAAAGGTCACCGTATTTTAACTAATTATCATTGCTTACAGGCACAGGTTAGATGGAGATTTGGTTAATAATGTGAAGAGGCTGGCAGAGAAAAGCAGAAATCATATATTATTTTGGGCCACGTGGTAACCCAATGAATCTTTTTTTTTTTTTTGAGTTGGGGTCTCACTCTGTCACCCAGGTTGGAGTGAAGTGGCATGATCGCGGCCACTGCAGCCTTGACTTCTTGGGCTCAGGCAATCCTTCCACCTTCAGCCTTCCAAGTAGCTGGAACTATAGGCATGCACCACCACATTTGGCTAATTTTTAAATTTATTATACAGACAAGGTCTCAGCGTATTGTCCAGGCTGATCTGGAACTCCTCGGCTCAGGCAATCCTCCCTCCACGGCCTCCCAAAGAGAAATGGGGCTTCCATAACAATGAAGATTTGAATCTTGTACAGATCGGAAAGACCCAGCTATAGGCATGATTACAGGTGTGAGCTACCACGCCTGGCTAAGTCTCTTTAAATATGAAGAATCTATAAGACATAGGCACACCCTTCTTTTAGACATGTCACACATACATAGCAAAGTACATTAGATGACAGACATGGAATCCCAAAAACTGACATATGGCTGGAAGCAGTGGCTCACACCTGCAATCCTAGAAATTGGGAGGATGAATAAGAGGATAGCTTCAGGTCAGGAATTCAAGACCAGCCTGGACAACACAGCAAGACCTCATCTCTAGAAAACAAAAATTTAAAAATTAATCAGGCGTGGTAACCCATGCCTGTAGTTCCAGCTATATGGAAAGTAAGTTGGGAGGATCGCTTGAACCCGGGAGGTTGAAGCTGCAGTGAGCCATGATGCCACCATACACTAGTCTGAGTAATGTAGGACGCTGTCTCCAAAAAGTTGAGGTCAACTACTAGACCTTTTTATATCTTAAGTATGTAATAAGTAAATTATAAGGCAGTGACCACAGGGTAATTGTCTCTGCTTTCGAAAGCACTAGATACATTATTAACTTTGGAAGCAGACAACTTGTGTCGCTGACATTACTGAGACTGAGTTGAGTCTCTTTTAGTATGTGCATAGCTTGGGTCTAGGAAGTGTACCCAAGCTCTGACCCCATGGGTGACATCTCGGGTGAGCTGCCAGAGCCCATGACAGACCAACACTCCACACAAAAATGGGGTCCTCATTCCTAAATTGTCATATTCAGACACATTCACCCTTCTTTCCTTTACAAATGTTTTGCAAATCTCACATGCTCCTGTAGGTGAACTCACTTTTCTCCACCCCAAATTAAAACTGTTTTTCTTTTCGTTTCTCCCATCCCTAGCCTTCTAAATAATTCATACTATTGTAAAATAAATTCAGAGACTTCTGAGAATTATCAAAATGTTAAAGTCACTTCAAATCAGAAGAAATCCAACCTATATTCATTTAAATATTTTCTGTCTTGTCTATGTATGCATATGTATCAGCACACAAACATGGGAATTTTTAAAAAAACAAAAATGGGGTCCTGGTCCATAGCAGCCTGAGATCTGGCGGGAACTGGGAAGCTAAGCAGGGTCTGACTCGGTTAGTGCTTGGATGGGAGACCACATGGGATTACCGCATGTCCCTCACTTCCTGCAAGCTTTAAAGGCTTTTACAGGTGGTGGCTCACACCTATAATTCCAGCACTTTGGGAGGCTGAAGGAAGAGGACTGCCTGAGCCCGGGGTTTTGAAACCAGTTTGGGCAACTTGGTGAGACTTGTCTCTACAATAAAACAAAAAATTAGCCGGGCGTGGTAGTACATACATGTAGTTCCAGCTACTGGGAAGGCTGAGGCAGAAGGATTGCCTGAGCCCAGTTGGTGCAGGCTGCAGTGGCTGTGAGCATGCCACTGTACTCCAGCCTGGGAGACAGAGTGAGATTCTGACTCAAAAAAAAAAAAAACAGGCCAGGTGTGGTGGCTCACACCTGTAATCCCAGCACTTTGGGACGCTGAGGAGAGAGGACTGCCTGAGTCCAAGGGTTCGAGACCAGCCTGGAAAACTTGGCGAGACCTCATCTCTACAATAAATTAAAAAATTAGCCAGGCCTGGTGGCGAGGATCTGTAGTCCCAGCAACTCAGGAAGTTGAAGCAGAAGGATGGCCTGAGCCCAACAGGCTGAGGCTACAGTAGCCGTGATCCTGCCACTGCACTCCAGCCTGGGCGAGAGAGTGAGACGAAGACTCAAAAAAAAAAAAAAAGGGAATACAGGCTGTTTTACAACCTGATAGTTGCATATATTGAAGACATATTTCTTTATCAGTAAACACAATCTCGTCTTCAGCCAGTTTCTCTTTTTGCTGTAACTCAAATGGCCACAGGAGACAGGATTTACACGCAGCTCTGCCTAGACAGACCCGGAAGGCCCTAAAGACTAAAGACACAGCCAGGCACGGTGGCTCACATCTGCCATCCTAGCACTTTGGAAGGATGAGGTGAGAGGATTGTCTGAGCCCACGGGCTCGAGACCAGCCTGGGCAACTTGGCGAGACCTCGTCTCTACAATAAATCAAAACATTAGCTGGGTGTGGTGGTGCATGCCTGCAGTTCCAGCTACTGGGAAGGCTGAGGTGGAAGATCACCTGAGCCCAGCAGGTCGAGGCTGTGATGGCTGTGAGCGTTGCCACTGTTGCCTGGGCGACAGAGTGAGACTCCAATTCCCAAAAAAAAAGACTAAAGACACAATCTAGTGGACCACGAAACAGGAAGTGGTGACGTCGGAGAGCCATGGGCCACCTAGCTCAGGCAAGAAGTGCTGGGATTTAAGTTTGCCAAAAAAGAAAGACGGAAACCTGTATTCCACTTTTTGACTCGAGGTTTCTCCACACAGCTTTATCCATACAGTTATTCCTTTTGAGTTGGAAACTGAACTCGAAAGATACCCCCTGCACACTTAACCATGGTGAGCACCAGAAGACCTATTTTCCCCCTGGGTGTGTGTTTCAAAAAGTAAAAACGCCTCCTTTGAACAAATCAAAACCCCAAATGTTTTCAAGTTTATATCCTTTGAGTGGGTCAGCCAGAGTTTATTCCCGTAAAGTATTACCACATTACAACTAAACAAGCTGTAGAAAAAAAAAACTCAAATGCTTCCAGCAACAGTGTTTTCCGCTCATTTCTGCAAGAACCACCACTGAGCATGTACAAATGGCAGCCAAGGCTCTGCAGAAAAACCAGCAGGCCGCTCCCTCCTGTTCTTCTCCACAGGGTGACCACCACTCGGGGTAGATCCCCTTGCTGAGTGAGCAACGGGCATTCC